ATCATTTGAAATTTGTGTCAGTACGTCATAGATAGAACGCAGCAGCAGTTTACTGTCGGGGATTTGTCGCGCCACGCCACACTGCATCCAGTGTAGAAAGCATAATAGGTTCTATTGTATTTTGTCGCGGCGTCCGGTGTAGACCCGGTGTTGAGAGAAAAATATGTTCAGCCCCCTCCCTCCGAAGCTTCGAATATTCGGTGTTGATTACTACCGTAGCTTCGAAGCTCAAAATATGGTATTCGGACCAGCCCTACATCTTATTTCAACAATTCTTGGCAACCACCCTGTATTGTACACTAATCAACACTGGATAAATTCCCTCCATGATTTGAAAGCCTTTCTTATAACCAGATAATGAATACAAACCTTTCTATTCATGTAAACTCAATTTAAAATGTTATTGTGTGTAGTAATGCAAGCACACATCCCTCAATGCTGCCACAAGGGGTGCTATGACATCAACACCAAATGGAAAGTGCAATTGTCTTTTCTTTCCTACTGTGACTTCACTGTGAAGTAGGGTTGTGCCGATAGATGAAAGTATCGTGTATCGACGATAGTCAGAGATATCGATGATAGCACATGTCTTTGTCTATAGTCAAGACGATATTAGGCTCATTCTCCTATAAATGTATTAAATTATTATTATTATTATTATTATTATTATTAGGCGGCCTATTATAATTCGGCTATTATCATCAAATTGCCCTGCTATTTCACTTCAACACCGCATTTCACACTCGCGCAAATTAGGAATTGAGCCTGTAGCCAGTGAAGGAGTCTCCAACCACAAACACAGACGTACATCGTCTGCTGATATAAGGTATTTCATTGCATTTTAAAGGGGTTATATGACGTTGCTAAAAAGACATTTATGTTGTGTATTTGGTGTAATGCAATGTTTATGCAGTTTAAGGTTAAAAAAAAATGTCCACATAATGTACATTATTGTTGCTCCTCTATGCCCCGCCTTTCTGAAACGCTGATTTTTCTGAATTTTACAAAGCTCATCGGTCTGAAAAGCGAGGTGTGCTGTGATTGGCCAGCTATCCAGTGCATTGTCATTGGCCGAATACCTCAAGCGTGTGACGGAAATGTTACGCCCCTTACCATAATGTGATACCGTGTCCTGGCGTGACAAGACAAAACCAATAAAACCCATTATAAACGAGGCATTTGTTGCATCCAGTGGGGACATAATTACTGATTATAATGACTTATACTGTCTTTTTACATGTTGCGTTGTATATCGCGCCGCGTAAACATAAAACCATGTCTGCATTTGTGATCGGAGAAACGACAAACAAGCGCTACTCTACACTGCCCAAAACTCACGTTTGAATCGTCAGTGGCAAATTCTTTAAATATAAAAAACGTACTT